GGGGGAATTTGATGAGAGGGTGAATATGAACAAGTCATTGTATGCATCCATAAAAATAGCGCAATGAAGCACATTCATTCTAAAATGCGGGGAGGAATGGGAGGATGGTAAGGGTGAAAATGATCATAGTAAGTTATTTGCTTGTGTGGTAATAGCACAATGAAACCTCCTTGAACAATTAACATACATGTTAAAACTCAAGCAGAAAATCACATACATATATATCTATGTTAATTTTAAAAAGAGAATAAAAAGAGGAAATAAATAATCCATCTGGGAGCTGGAGATGTGACCCAAACAATAGACACCTGCCTAGCAAGTGTGAAGCCCTGAGTTTAAAACTCATTTATCCCCCTCCCTCGGAAAAAATAGAATATATTAACTTAAATAGAAAATAGGATCTATTTAGGAGGAAATGAATGTAATTCATTCCTCTATTGCTAAACTAATTTCCAGTTCTTCTATGAGAGCACAAACATTTTTTTTTTTTCCAGGCAGGCACTTTACTACTTGAGCAATTCTTCCAGTCCCACAAATAAAAGTAGTGATTTCAGATAACAGCATAAGATGTTCCTGAGTCGTGGTAAGAAGCAGGTGCCCGGTCTGGAAAACTACAGATTGGTTCTGCTCAATGCAATGAGACCCGAGGCTGGGCCAGATCCCCCCAGGAGAGCAAGCGCGGACTTTGGGGAGCGGCGAGAGGAATCTGTCATTTGGGTTCTGCAGAGCCAGGCAGCGAATGCATCGCCCGCCAGTCAGAAGTGAAGGGGGTGTGGCCTGGAACATTAGCCAATCAGAAACGGCGTTCCGTGACCGAAGGAACTGTCCAATGAGGAGCGCGGTTCTAAGCTGGTTCCGAAGCCTGTAGCTGGGCCGTTGTTTTGGGCCCGCGGTGTTTGAAATCCGCATCGGAGCTGAGCGGTCCCGCAGAGTCCCAGCCTCAGCGGCTCTGGCCCCTGCTGTGGAGCCGAAGGACGACGCCGGGAAGCCGGGAAATGGTGAGGTTTCGGCCGGGGCCGGGGCCGGCGGGAAGCGGTGGTGGCGGATGCGGCCCCGGTGTGCGGTCCGCGTCCCCGCCGGCTGCGCTCGGCCCTCGCTCCTCTGGGCGCAGGGTGGGGCTGGGTCGGCACCGGGACAGCGTCCGTCCCCTTTGCGATGCGAGCGGCCACCTCGGCCGCCCGGAGCCCTGTGCGCGGCTCGGCCCCGCGTGTCCCCACGGCGCGGTGACGGCGGCCATGGCGGCTCCTGCCTCGTGCGGGGTCGTGCGCGGGGCGCGCTGTGGGTCCCCGCGTCCCCTCGGTGGCGCCGGGTCTCCTGCGTCTTCAGGGTCGGGGGAAAGGCCGTCCTGTGCAGCTTGGCGGAGGGAGGGGAGGGGACTCCGCGCCCCCTGTGACGTCACGGTCACCTCTGTGACGTCACCGGGTCTTAAGGAAAAGCTGATGGGGAGGGACAGTATTTGAGGGGGGCGTGGCAGCAGGGGCGTCGCAGCCCATGTCAGGTGAGACACCTGGAGCCGGTGGCTCTTGAGTGAGAGGAGAGAGGACTTAGGGGACACTGGGGCTGTCCCAGCGGGGGCGGACACTGCCTCACAAGGTCCATGCGGAACGGAAGCACGGCAGCGATTTGCGAGGCGGATCCCACATAAAATCGCAGCGTTCCTTACATCGTCATGAGGCCTGGGCCTCACCTTTGTGCAGACTTTCCACCTGAGCCCAAAAGCCGCAGGACAGGGGAGTCCCAAGCTGGTGACAGGACGCGTCACAGAGCCGTTGAAAGCAGGGCAGGAAGGGGTAAAGAATGGAGGCGCGCTGGCGGATTGTCGTCGGACGCTTGGGGATTTTTTGGCTGCTGTGGTTCTGTCTGGCACAGCTGCTTTTAACGAGCCTGCTTGTCCCTGACGGTTGGCTGGGTGGCAGCTGCCTCTACTGAGCGGCCTTGCCTAAGACCTTGTTCATCGAGTGAACTAGTTATGACCTGAGTCTAGAGCTCCAGTACTGTGAGTCTCACCCTTCCTTCTGGAAATGTATGTGGGGTGTTTTAGAAGCCAGTAACCTTTGAGGATGTAGCTGTGAACTTCACCCTGGAGGACTGGACTCTGCTGGATCCTTCCAAGAAGCCCTACAAAGATGTGATGCTGGAAACCTTCAGGAGCCTGACTGCTATAGGTAAAGGCGTTACCATTCCTTCATTTAATCAGTCACCAAGCAAGTACTGCTTGGTTATCAGTGCTGTTGCATGATTTGGAATATGGAAAAGGAACGTTTTGGTGAATACAGCCACAGGCAACATGGCTTTATACCATGAATGCAACATGAATTTAAGAATTTTCCTACAATGTTGTAATAATTCTTAATGGGTTTTTGGTGGGGGGGGGTCCTAAATTTTAGGAAAAGCACAGGAAGAACAAAAGAGTGAAGATGAGTACAAAACTTAGGACAAATCTAAGGTAATTTGCACTCACAGTAGAAGCAGTGTCTCTTTGTAATCTTGGTTTTACAAGACATTTAAGAAACAAGCAAAAGATACAAACACATCCAGCTTCAATGCTCCATGCACGATATGATTTAAAATGTAATATTAAGTTACCTTCAGACTTTTGGTAAAAGGTGTATTTGACACAAAAATGAATTTGTATGAAATATGGTACCAATCTATAAAGTTATTGGGCTGTAATGCATTTCATTATAGATAAGGAAGTACTTCAGGATCCAACATGCTTCCTGTAGTCTTTAGCATTGTGACTCAGGAACATGCAATTTTTCTAAATATGATACAAACATTCAGTGTCTGCCAAATACCTTGTGGGAGACAGTGTTACAGTACCACATAAACCCCAACTCTTCTTGAGGTACGTCATTAACAACAAAATCTTAGTTCATTCCTTCTGCTCACACCTGTCATCCTAGAGACTCAGGAGGCAGCACTCAGGAAGATAGCAGTTTGAGCCCAGCCTGCACAAATAGCTCCCAAGACCCTATCTCAAAAATACCCAACAGAAAAAAGGGAATGGTGGAGTAGCTAAATTGGTAGAGGGCCTGCCTAGCAGCATGAGACCTTGAGTTCAAACCCCAGTAACACCAAAAAATAATAATGATTATGCATTCCTCATTTCTTATAGAGGTGAAGTGGTGAAGAAACCCTTTAAAGGTAGTCATCGTGTCGAACTCTTCAACCAAACTCCAGAGCATATTGTGAACCAGAAAACTCATCCAGGAGGAACACCATGTGAAAACCACATGTGTCAAAAAGTCCTCATTGCTCATGCACCAGTAAATGTCCCCCACAGAACTCTCGGGACACAAACCAGATGAGTGTCAGGAATATGGAGAGAAGCTGTGTGAACATAAGAAACGTGGGCAAGCCTCTGGATCTCCTGAGTGCCTTCAGAAGCATGGCATGGCTCTCACTGGAGAGAAATCCTATGACAATAAACATAGTGATGACACCTTTAGGTGTCACAGTTCCCGTCAGATATAAGAAGGGACTCATACTGTACAGAAACCATGGGAAAGTTTTTTCTTCCAGTTATTTCCAAAGACATGTAAAACTTCATAATGGAGAGAAAGCCTATGCATGTAAGCGATGTGGGAAAGCCTTTACTCGCTCTGATTGTCTTCGACAACATGAAAGAATTCACACAGGAAGAAGCCCTTTACATGTAAGCATTGTGGAAAAACCTTTGCTTGTTCCAGATTCCTTCTGACACATGAAATACTCCACATAGGAGAGAAATCCTATGTGTGTAAGTCTTGCAGGAAGGCTTTCATGGATCCCCGTTACCTTTGGTCTCATGAAAGGAAGCACAGTGGAGAGAAACCTATAGGTGTAAGCAATGTGGAAAAGCCTTTGGTTATTCCAGTTCTCTAAGAAAGCATGAAATAACTCATAGTGATGAGAAGCCCTATATATGTATGCAATGTGGAAAGGTTTTCCCTTGTGCCAGTTACTTTAAAAATCATAAAATTACTCACAGTGGAGAAAAACACTGGATGGTAAGCAGTGTGGTAAAGCCTTTCCTTATAGAAGTTCCCTTCACTACCATGCAGCGACTTTGTAAAGCTGTGCTGTGTGACTTACATTACCAAACTATATTCATTTTACTGGCTACTATCTGATTTCCCCTCCTTTCACATCTCTGAATCCTAGATTTAGTTTACACCTTCTTGAATCACCTTAGTAAGAAAAGAAAGAGAACTCTGTCTGAGCCAAAAGCCTGCTGGAACCAGTATTATTGAAGCTATACTAGTGTTTAGAGATTTCCAGGAAAACATAAATGTCAAAAATGGGAGTTTAGTATAAAAGTCCAGATTGTTTAAGAAGAGATGTCTTCTTAACAATATCTGTTGGAGGTGTGTAAGGGAGCTGGAAGTTTATTAAATGGAGTCCCCTTCCTCCTAGAATAGCTCTTTAGAGAGCCTTGAAAAACAGAAAGGAGTGTCCTTGAACAACCCAGTCTGCCCCACACTATAACAGCTGGACAGGAGTTCCTAGAAAATACTAGCCTCTCCCCACTTCTGTCAACTGTGTGGGGAAGCACATCAGCATCATTAGCTGAAATGTGATGTGGGCTGCATTTAGGAGGAGTGAGTTTTCTTTGGCATTGACCACACTGAGCTGCCTTGCTATCTTTACCCCAGGTCCCTGGAGGTATGCCTAACTCATTCCTGGCTGCAGTCACCAGCTGGTACCTGTCAACCAGGTGAGAAGCTGGCAGAAGAGCAATGGAGGGGGGTGGTTTGTTAGGTCAGTGGGATAAAGACGCAAAGCTGTAGATAAGCAGTGGCTTAGTGAAGGGAAGAAGCCAAAGAGATGAACAATAGCCCCTCAGTGTTTATCAGGCAGCTCTGAGATCGTGTGTCAAGGTGTGAGATATTCTAGTGTTGGGAGATCAGCTCCTTTCCTAGACCACTGGTGATTTAGCTAAAGGTGAGGTGGAATTATGACTCAGGACCTTTCACCTGTTTTGTTCACATTTGCAACATCTCTCAGATGGAATTGTCAAGGCTGTCCATAAAACTGATCTGCACAGGACTCTCCTGACAAGCTCACTGTGGGTATATTAAGAAAACCCTTGGCTTTGGGAGTAAGATGGCATAATAGCAGCTTCCTCTGTGTGACTCCATGACTGAGAAAAGTGAGGATAACAAAGAGGAGACTACTCAAGAGAGAGAAGAAGAGCGCCAGGAATCACAAACGAGGTGACAGGGCAGGTGAGAAACCACAGACCACAGGCTTTTCAGGAAGGGGAGAAGAGCAGGAATCTGTCTCTAGCTCCCCTGCATTCCATCCCAGCATAGAAACACACACACAAAAGCACTGTGAGCTCAACATCCACATCCACAGCACAACGTGACCAGAAACCTGCACCCTCCCTCATGCTTCCAGGTCACTCTCACTCTACACTGCACAGACAACTCATATCCTGATTTCAGCAGCTGGATCCATTCCTTAGCTGTCTGCACATCAACCTGTCCTTTGGGTGAAGGTTTAGGAGAAATGGTGTGTGGTCTCAGGTCAGAGATCCCAGGCCTGGAGGAAAGGGAGAAACTGAAGGAAAGTTGGCTTCTTGTTTTCATTTTTTTTCCCTGTTTTTGGGGTACTGGGGCTTGAACTTAGGGCCTACACCTTGATCACTCCACTAGCACTTTGCTGCTTGTGCATGTTGGGTTTTTTCGAGATAGGGTCTCATTAACTATTTTCCCAGGCTGACTTTGAACTGTGATCCTCCAGATCTCTGCCTCCTGAGTAGCTTGGATTACAGGCATGAGCTACCTGCACCTGGCTCATTGTTTTCATTTTTACAGTCAGCTCAGCTAACCATGTTTGTCTGTCTGTCTTCTGTGGGGTGGGAGGCAGTGCTGGCGTTTGAACTCTGGGCCTTGCCCTTTCTAGCAGATGCTGTGCCACTTGAGCCTCGCCCCAGCTCTCTTTGTCTTTGTGCGGGTATGGGTTTTGAACTCAGGACCTTACACTTGCTAGCAGGCACTCTACCACTTGAGCCACATTGCCAGCCCTTTTGAATGTTTTAGAAATGGGTCTCAGGAACCTTTTGCCCAGGCTAGCTTTTTTTTTTTTTTAATTGTCTTTCCCAGGTGTGCATATAAATCTGTTCTGTTTTCCTTTCTTTTTTTTTTTGGCAGCACTGGGGTTTGCACTCAGCTTCACTTGCTACGCAGGCACTCTTAGCACTTCATCCATTGCACTAGCCCTGTTTGTGGTGGGATTTCTGAGATAGGGTCTCAAGAACTAATCGCCTCTGGCTGACTTCAGATCAAGGTCCTCATGATCTCTGCCTCCGAGCAGCTAGGATTACAAGCGTGAGCCACTGGTGCCTGGCTCCTGTTTTTCTTTCAAGTCACGTGTTTGTGCTAGATAATAACTAAGCCATTGATCTTTATAAATTAAGCTCATGGATTCCAGAACGTTTTTTGTGTCCTTTAGGATTTTCTATGTACCTAATGATGTCACTTTTGACCACTGACATATTTTTTTCCTTCTGAATATGTGTGTTTATTTTCACACGTTTAGAAACCTTGTTTGTTTTGTGGTGCTGGGTGCTGAGCCTAAGGTAGTATTAAATTTGGATTAGATAGGCTATCCCTTTGTTATTGCAAAGATTTTCAGTTATTAGGCATTTATTATACCTTGTAGGCTTGTTAATTTTTTTGAACTCTTTATAGGTGTGTTTTGGATATTATACATTTAGCTATCTGTATGTCTATCTGTAGCTATATAGAATCATACATCTGTATAGCCGGAAAACCTTGGTGACACTGTGCTGTTTCTGAGGACATGTGCCACCCCTTGCCTTGTTTTACCTGTTGACATTCTCAAGGCTATAATTATATTTTGGGGCATAGTGAGTTCTCTTTCAAGAAAGAGTCCTGTCTAGTTTTTCACTCAGAGTAGGCTACAAGACAGGTACAAACAATTCTGTCTCTCAGTTTGCTCACAAAGAACAAACTCACTGCCATAACTCCCAACTTGAGTGTTGTGTGCTTTTTTCTTTTTTGGTGGCGCTGGGGTTTGAACTCAGGGCTTTGCACTTGAGCCAACCCTCCAGCCCTTTTTTGTGTTGGGTATTGTCTAGACATGGTCCTTGAACTATTTGCATGGTACTTGATTCAAATATCGATCCTCCTGATCTCTGCCTCCTGAGCAGCATGGATTAGAGGAGTGAGCCACCAGCACTAGGCCTTAAGAAGCAGGTTGTGGGGAAGGCTTAAATAGCGTCCATCAAGCGAGCTCATCAGAGTTCCATCCTCCAGTGTGTTTTGGGTCTAGCCAGTGGAATCGTTCTAATGCACATGTCAGAATATGGCAAACACTCAGAGGGAGAATAGGTGTGAACAAATAGCAAACTGTGTACTCAACTCTTTGAAAAAGCCAAGCCATCTTTACAGTTAGGGCAGTGACGTGTCTGTCCCAGTAAGATTCCCCAGACACCAGGAGCGGTGAACTTTCTCCATCATGGGGACGATTATGCAGTCTCAGGACAGCTGGTGTTTACTCTGTTCTGGGATCTGGGTAGCAGGAATTTGTTATGCAGTTTCTAGAGTGCCGGGATACAAAGAACAATTAGTGGCCCATCTACACACAGGGTGTCCTTGCTGTGCTGTTGCTTTGCCAGATAGCTGCAAGCTAGAATGAGAACTGCAGCATGAGAGGTGTGAGAATGGGTGGAGCCTAAGAGCGTTGTGACTAATGGAGTGAAAACTTGGGAGACAGCATCTTATGAATTAGTGATGAACTGTGTGTACACCCCAAGTACTGAGCCTCACCCTTCCTCCTCAAAATGTATGTGGGGCGTTTTAGGAGTCGGTGACCTTTGAAGATGTGGCTGTGAACTTCACCCTGAGGAGTGGGCTCTGCTGGAAACTTCCCAGAAGCTCTACAAAGATGTGATGCTGTAAACCTTCAGGAGCCTGACTGCTATAGGTAAAGACAGTACCATTCCCTCACTTTGTCACTCAGAGAGCAAGTGTTTCTGGGTTATCAGTACTGTTGGATGGTTTGGATTGTGAAGAGCACCATTATGGTGAATAGAGCAGCAGGCAAGATGGCTTTATGCTAGGAATGTGTCAGGAATTTAGCAATTTTCTTACAATGTTGTAATAATTCTTTTTTTTTTTATTTGGTGGTACTGGGGTTTGAACTCGGGGCCTCATGCTTGCTAGGCAGGCACTCTACCACTTGAGCCATTTTGCCAGCCCTGTTGTAATAATTCTTAATGGATTTTGAAGGGATCTAAATTTTAGGAAAAGCACAGGAAAAACAAAACACTGAAGATGAGCACAGAAACTTCTGGACAAATCTAAGGTAATTTAAACTCAGAATGGACAGCAATATTTATTATCTTGGTATTATGGGATACTTAAAAAACAAGGAAATATTGGAAATTCATCTAGCTTCTGTTAGGTCCCTGGCACTCTTGGGGCAGGCAGAAGGTCCCAAGGCTACCACCAAAACCAGACCCCCTGATTTATGACCGCTTGTTTCTCCCTGCCTGATTGTTTCTTGGCTTGCAAAACAACTCAGGAACTTCCAGTTACTAAACTAGCCAAGCATGTCAATCTGTTCCATCTGGTGATCCAAGATAATCAGAGACCAGACTCTCTCTCTCTCTCTCTCTCCCCCTCCCCCATGGCTTGGCAAGCCCACTACCCAATTCAGCCAAGCTGCTTCACTCTGAACCCAAGAGTGACAGCCCTGCAGTCTGGTTCCAATAAATCTTTCTTTTCCACACGTGGCGTGGTCTTTATTTGGCAGTACCTTACAGCTTCAGATTCATTTATCTCAGAAAATTTCTTCGAAACTGCATGGAGACTGAATATCAGTGGCTCACACCTGTAATCCTGGCTCCTCAGGAGGCAGAGATGAGGAGGATCACAATAGGAAGCCAGCCCTGATGCATAGTTCACAAGACCATACCTTGAAAAAAATCCATCACACAAAAAGGGCTGCTGGGGTGGCACAAGCTCTAAGAGCACATAGACCCTGAGTTCAAACCCAGGACCACCCAAAAAAAAAGTGCATACAAGTTGAGAGTCCATAATCAGAAAACACAAAATGTTCTAACATGAGAAACCTCTGGAGGATGATGCCTGTCACAGGTGTCATTTATCATGGTTTTACTACATACGAACCCTGGACAGAAGGAAGGATAAATCAGTGCCCACAGCTACAGGAATTGCTTTCATTCCCAGACTTTTTGTTGTCTTTGCATATCTTTGCATGTCTTTGCTGTTTTTTTTCAATCATCTGGAGAGACAGAGAAATAAACATCTGGGTTTTGCATCTGTTGACAAGGAATTTTGGATTCTTTCTTCAGAGGCTTCCCTGAGTGAGCATTTGATGTCACTTAAGAATTTTTTGTTAGCAATTGGACAAAATAAATAAAAAATGTAAGGTTGGGGAAAAAACCCCAAGGTGTTTCTGTTGGAGATCTCTGTTGTAGACTGCTTAAACCTTTTTGCATGTGCATATGTAAACATCCAAGGACAATTTGTATTGTAGAGTTAATGTAAAGACTTGTTAATTCTGTTCTCTCTTCCCCCTTTTCTACTGTATGTGTAAAAACCTTATTTTGATCAGGTCTAAGATGCAGGCATTTAGTCTCACTAGGGCTGAGACTAGAGAAAAAAGGGGTGTTCAAGGTTCAGACAACAGCCTGCATCACGGATCCTGGGACTTGGGTATTTGGAAAAAAGACCTGAGCCTGTTTCATTCTGCCGTAAATAAAATTTGGGATTTAAAGCAGTGGTGGTGGGTATGGATCTCAGGGCCTTGCCATCATTAGGCAGGCGCTCTACCCCTCGCTCTGCCTCCAGCCTGTGGCTTGGTTGTCTTCTGCACAGGAAACCTTCTCTTTGTGTATCCCTGTGTTCAGGTTTCATCTTCCTCTTTCAAGTAATTTGATTGTTGTGCATGGACCACAGGGGGTACGATGGGTCCACACAAGTGACATCAGTGTGTCCCTGCCTCAGGTGTGAAGGTCACTGAGCTCACCACTGCTGCCCAACAGCTGCTCTGCCATTCATCTGTTCACACGATGGCCCAGTGAAGACTGGTTTCCTTACTCTGATCTATTTTTATTCTCTGTGAATAGCATGGTGTCCTTACAGAATAGTTTCAATGTCTTTATTACATTGGGCTAGGTTTCATTTTCTTGGTTTTTTTTTTTTTTCTGCTTTTTTGCTGGACTGGGTTTTGAACTCAGGGCTTCATGCTTGTAAAGCAGGTATTCTACCATTTGAGCCAAATCTCCAGTCCAAACTATACTTTTTTGTTGCATAAAACAAGAAATCTTTTATTATCTAGTAGATTTGGAAAAGCAGTTTTTGTTGATTGGTTGAATGTGTTTTAGAAACTATAGCATTTTATGCATCTGTGTGGGAGGGAAGCTGTTTTGTGTGTGTGTTACTGGGGTTGGAACTCAGGGTCTTACTTGCTAGGGATGTGCTCTACACTTCAGCCACTTCATCACTTTTTTTGTAGGTGATGGTTTTTTCTTTTCTGTTTTGTGGTACTGGGGTTTGAGTTCAGGACCAGCCCTTTCTTGTGTTGGGTTATTGGAGTCTTACAAACTCTTTGCCCAGGCTTCCTTTGAACCATGATCCTCTTGATCTCTGCCTCCCGAGTTGCTGGGATTGTTGCAGGAGGGCTCAGACAGAGAGTTGGGGCACCAAAACTTTGGGGAAGCAAGTTTATTAGTCAGGCCAGCAGTGACAACTCAGAGTTCTTGAGTCCAAAGGCTGAGACCGGAGAACAAAGGGGACTTTCCTTATATACCATTTAGAGCAGGTTACAGAAATGGGGGGCGGGGTAACAGCTTGTCCCATACATGGTCGGTCATATGCTATTTCATTGGCCACTCTAACTTCTGGAGCAAGGTGACCCTTCTCTTGTCTCACCCCAGGTGCCATTCCCCAAATCCTGTTATTTTTGTTTCACTGTAGCACTCATTATCTCTCATTATCATTCATTAGCTCCCTTCCCCCTCCCTGCCTTCCTGCCACAGGATTACAGTCATGATCACCACTGGGTCTTTTTGACATAAGGTCTCACTTTTTGCCCAGGCTGGCCTTGAACTGTGACCTCCTGATCTCTGCCCTCTCCACACCTCTAGTACCTAGAATTGCAGGCATGTAATAATAAATAAACAAACCAAAGCTCCTCTTCCTATGAAAAGGCAAGACTGCTAGTACCTTGAAGGTTCAGTAAGGAAGGCCAAAATGGAGGCAGAGATCAGGAGAATAGAGGTTTGAAGGCAGCCTGTGCAAATAGTTCATGAGAACCTATCTGAAAAAAACCCAACACAAAACAGGACTGGTGGAGTGGCTCAAGTCGTAGAGCGCCTGCCTAGCAAGTGTAAGACCCTGAGTTCAAATCCCAGTACCACCAGCACACACACACACACACACACACAAAAGGTCTCATTGAGACGGGGCATGGGTGCTCATTACTGTAATGCTAGTTACTTGGGAGGCTGAGATGAGGTGGCTCTTGGTTTGAGGCCAGCCTGGGCAAAGAGTTCTTGAGAAGCCACATCTCCAAAATAAGCAGCTCAAAATGAACTGGAGGTGTGGCTCAAGCAGTAGAACACCTGCTTTCCAAGCATGAATGCCTGAGTTCAAGTCCCAGTCCCATAGAGAGAGAGAGAGAGAGAGAGAAAGAAAAAAAAGATGACATTCATATTTTCTCATTACACTGTATTGGTATGATAGTTCTGTTGTTGGATATTGATGTTAATCTCTTGCTGTGCCTAAGTTTTAAATTAAAATGTGTTATAGGTATGAATGAATGACAAGGTTAAGTCGTATGTTTAAGAAAAAGCTGGTGGTTTTTCTTTTCTTTGGTACTTCTGAGGCTTTCAATTAGGGCCTCACTTTTCGTACACAGTTACATGTCTACCACTTGAGACACCCCCGAGCCCAGATTTTTCAGACGGCGAGATAGCCTCTCACCATTCGCCCATGCTGGCTTCAAACTGCAGCCTTCCTTATCTCTGCTTCCTGAATGGTTAGTATCACAGGCATGAGCCATTGGCTCCCAGCAAGTGGTTCAAATGATTGCACACAGAATAAGTAATTCCCCTCACCCCAGAGACCCTGGTGACAACCCTCAGTTGAAGAGGAGAGGGAATCTGGAAGCTGAGGAAAACGGGGAGGGTTCACATTGATTTACTCCTGTTGCATGGCATGTGTTCACATGAGGTGAACAGTGTGCTGGAATCTTCCCAATCTGAAGGATTGCTTATGTGGCAATTTAACATCCATATAAAGTATCTTGGGATCTTCCTTATCTACATTATAAGTCACTGTGCAATGAAAGCGGGAACTCTCATGGTGTCTAATTCAAAGATTTGGATTCAGCATCATTGTCTCATTCACCTCCTCAATGTTGGAGTGACACTACTCAGTAACCAAGAGGGAGCAGAGCGTGGAGGTGAGTGACTCCAAGCTGAGGCCTTTCTTGAGCCTTGGTGCTTCCTGAGCATCTTCCCTCCCCTGCATGTGGACTCCTGATGTACAAAACAACTACACAGTGGTGACTGAGACACTGCAGAGGAGGAGGAGGAGGCCAGGTGAGGATGGGATTGGGGTGCTGTCCATTTTCGGGTGGTGTCTGTTTTTCCGGACATTTTCTGAGTGGTGAGTCTGTTTCTGTACGAATAGAGTTGCCGGTGTCAACATGTAACTTGTACATGTGAGGAAAATCTGTGGCAGTCACACAAAGATGCACTCAGATAATCTTCTCCAGAAAGAGTTTCTGCATTACAGTTTAGTCTCACCTCAAAAGTGAGCCAGGTGACAAAGTCCCTTAAGGTGTGCAAACAGTTTTCACACTGGAACTGGGGCCGGCAGGGAATGGTGGACTCCCGCCGTGAAACCCGTAGGTGTCCCTTCCTAATCACCCGGGAGTGGTCACTCGTGGCTGTGGGCAGTCAGTGTGGCCCTGCAGCTTGGGAATGTGTTTAGCCTGTGCTTGAGCGTTTTGTTGTGACCTTGGTTTAAGCAGCCTGCTGGCTGGGCTACTTCGAAGTTTTGCTTTCCATTTCCTCTTCATTCCTGTCATAGCACTAGTTTTGCTGTATTGTTACTCTATTTTTGCATGCATTGAACAATTGTATTCCCTGGTTCTTGTGCTTTTATTTTCCGGATTTTACCTTCTTGGGTTCTGCCCAGCCCCATCGTCAACGGGGCCGCTGTCAGTCAGGCTTGAAGGGGCGGGGCCTGGACTGTTAGCCAATGAGAAACGCAGCGCGAGCTGTCCAATGAGGAGCGCGTAACTAAGGGGAGGAGCGCGTAACTAAGGGGACCCCCGCTGCCCACAGCGCGGCCGTATTTGAAACCTGAGCCTGAGCGGTGGCTCGGCTGGCATCGGGGACGCGCGACTTCTAACTGCGGGAGCCTAGGGACCGCGGTGGGAAGCATTCCGGCCGGGGTGGCTGAG